CAAAATTGGTTTATTCTGAACACGAAGTATTCGAAATACAACATAAATAAATTAAACCAAAATAAAACTTACTTTTTATTACATCCTATATATAAGGTACGAAATCGTAAAGTTGCTTTAAATAATTCATTTAAAATTCATCAATACAGTAAATATTTCCAATGGAATTACGCGTAAAAAAGAAACATTGTCAGTACAAGATTACAAGACTGCCATATTAAATTCAGTGGAATAGGCCCTTATACAGTATGTTACTATAATTAACTTTCGAATTTGTAATGGCAGTTTTTACGAGTGAATTAACACGGGTTAAGAGTTTTACTTTCGTTCTTGTATCGCTCAAGGCGAGTTTGTAGCGAAAGCTTTTTAATACAAAATATTAGCTGAGTCATGGCATTTGATGTTTTGTTTGAAATGTCTAAATTTAATTAATTAACGACTTAATTAAATATCTAAAAAAAATGCCAAGTTAAGTAAATAACAGTGGAAAATGAAACATAATCTATTTTACAATATCCCCCTATTTTCCTTTCTACACTTTTCTTATAAAGAAAATATGGGATATGGATGGGGATTTGACGGAAGAGGTGACTTATAGGAAGGAGAAATATTCTCTTTTAGTGTCTTTAAGTCTCTTTCCTCCGAAGATTTAATCTACGTTAACGCAACGCGCTAGGCAACGCATTTGCAACTGCGCATTATTTGGGCAGCGGTCGCTTTGTCATTTCGGTGAATTCAGGTGGCCGTTCACTCGTTTGCAATCTTATAATATGTGAAAATGTTAAACTTATGTATTCCCTTTCATAATCATCATCATCATCATATTCAGCTTAAATTTGTTCACTGCTGAACGCAAGAGGACCATCGATGCCACAATGCCTGGTCCTGTGCCTCCCACTTTCCGTATTCCGTTGATATATGACGGATTAAACACCTAATTCTTCGAAGCTGCTAAGGCCTTATAGCTCTCCAGACATTAAACCCTTTTTCGGAAATAGTACTAGTATCTCCTATTACGATCAATTAAAGTCTAGTAAAGTCTGATGGAACTCGCAACGCTTATAATTTGAGTGCATATCCAATAAACGAAAGTACGTTTTCACTTGATCGATGGTTTCGAAATAATGATGGGCCGTGATGTGCAATTAACTTGTGCAGGGGAATCGTGACTAATCGTACTGACATGCTTGTACGTCCGTCAAAAGGTAAGGTTCTTATGGTATACCTAGGCCCTTCGTACACAAGGCAACACAAAGCTTGGAAAACCGACTTTAGTCGCTAAGCGACTTACGTTATACAATTTCATAGAAGATCGAATACAGCGCTTTGCCAACATTTCTAATTGTCCAATTATAGTCGCTAGCAATTTATCAAAATCGTGGTGAGAAAAGTCGCTGCATTTTTCAAGAGTCGGTATGCATCTACTGACCGAATAGACGATTCGCGTCGACGATTCAAAGTCTTGTGTATTGGGCGCACCTTACGCGATTGTAGCGACGCACACTGGGCAAAAATTTTGGCTCTCTAGAAATTTTCCTATGATATTATTTAGTACTTTTTTTTGCTATATTCCGCTTCGTATGACTAACTACATGTCAAATTTAACGTTATAAAACATATATTTAGTCATAAAAAGCAGATTCAAGGAAAAATATCAGAAGAAAATGTCTATGACAACCCAGAAAATGCCCAGTGTGCAACGCAACCTCACAAATTTAGTTATAATAATTTACGTTGCCTTGTGTACGAAGGGCCTTATTTATCTGTTAAATTAGTAGAATAGACGAGAATAAATAATTACCTGTCATTACAATAAATGTGTTGGACAGTTCAAGATTTTAATTCTTGTCGCGAATGTTACACGCATTTTTGTGCGGTTATTGATCGAAGTTACACTGTTTAATGTCTGTCGAGTATCGGTGGCTCAGTGGTCAAGCACTTGACTTGCAATCTGCAGGTCCTGGGTTCGAATCCCGCCGTGTACCAATGTGTTTTTCGATTTACATATGTACATTTATCCGTCGTTCTTACGGCGAAGGAAAACATCGTAATGCAACCTGCACATATCTGAGAAGTAATTCAAAGATATGAGTGAAGTCAACCAACCCGCACTTGGCCAGCGTGGTTGACTATGGCCTAATCACCCTTAACTTAGCGTAGGCTCCGAGCCCCTCGGTGGGGACGTATAGTGAGCTGATGATGATGATACTGTTTAATTTTTTATTTATTAAACAAATAATTACGGTTCTTTGTCACCTATTGACATAGTATACTGATAAACAAGTCATGAGAACAATGCCACTCAATCAGTTCCCGCAAAAACATCTGCCACACTAATGAACGTGTTAGTCGCGTTCCTATTTCTTAAGAGCTAACCTAATCATCTTTTTTAACAATACTTGAATGAGAATTATTAGTAATTTCCGCTAAGGTTCAATCACGCATATAACACTGGTTTTATTTTTAGTTTGCTATTTTTTTTTTTACTTAAATGTTGTAGTTGAGTTTATTAGATATTTAGAGTATATTATTAGAGTTTATTAGATGTTAGAGTAGAGAGATATTTAGAGTTGAGTTTAATAGATATATGTAAATTTATACTGTAGTCGAAATTTTTATTATTTTAAATTATTACACAACTAGTTCTAACATATTAGTAATAAAGCTGTCGCCCGCGATTCCATTCGCACACAAAAAAAAAAATAGTAGCCTGTGTGTTCTGGGCTATGTTCCACACCTATGCCAAATTTCAGCGAGATCCAAACAGCAGTTCCTTCAAACAAACATCCATCCCTCCATGCAAATATTAGTAAGATGTTAATCAAGGATAGTGTAGCTTCCCAACAAAGAAATTTTCGAATCGGTTCAGTAGTTTCGGAGTCTATTCAATGCAAACATAAACAATCAAATCTTTACTCCTTATAATATTAGTATACAAGAAACAAAATTGAAAGGTAAAAGAAAATGATAGAGTTAAAGTTTTAAAGCTCCACTCAATTTCCAGTCTTCTGAATTATCCAAGCGTAGCTTCAAAGGTACTTACTCCGAAGGAACTCCCTGGATTGAGTCTGAAAACAATTTTCTAACGTAATCTACCAGAAATGTCGTTTGTAATACGGTAATAAGGAAACTGTTTTAAGATTGAAAACGTTCATGTTTCTTTTGATATTCTGATGTAATTTTGCGGTCTACTCTACGCTTATTGGCGACACAGAATACGATGAGATGTTTAAATAATGTATGATTTTCTATGTTTTTGAAATAAACAAAATCAAAACCTAATTCAATTGTAAATATTAAGTAAATTCTTCGTGCTGTTTTAGCTGTACAAATTCTTTTAACAAAATTGTTCTAGTATTGAACACTAGTTAAAGTTAGATTGAACTTTGCAATAGTGATCGTTGCTTGTATAAGAAAGACTAACCGTGGGTTTCTGACACCAAAATCCCTCTTTAAAAAATGTTGTTATCTCCGTTTTGCCAATGATAATGACAGGAATGACGATATGTTTTATAAAGAGATTATGTTCTTAGAAACCCATGGTACTTTCGGCAATAGCTTAATTTCTTTAGATAGTTTCTACTCATAGATCCTTTCTAAGTATGACCTATTAACTATTACAAAAATATATGAGACAAGTATTGAAATAAGTGCTCATAAAAACAGACATTAGATTTTATGAGTTACTTGTAAAAATGTCGTTAGTACGGTGAATCAACTGATTTACAATCGTTAACAGTTCCTTTGTTACTATGAGTGCTTTCGTTGGTAACACTGGGGTTAGTGTTATCGCTTAGGTTGGCAACACTGGTGGTTTAGTTGTTATCGCTGTGTTCCACTAAACTAGTACCACAATCTGATAGGGAAACTGGAACAGTGAAAAATTCAACAGGAAAACTTGCATAGTGTTTAGAAAACTACGGTATCTAAACTAGGTATCTCTAGAACGACTGCATAGATCTCGCTGAAATTTGACACAAATGTAGAACACAGTCTGAAACTAATACTGATTGACTGACAGCTAGTAATATTAATGTGATTAAAAAATTCACCATGGCAAAGTCGGGACGTACTTTAGTCAATTCAAAATTTAAAACCATAAATATATTTAATCGTTATAAGACTGTCTTATTCATCCCGTCCGTTGTGAAATAAGAAGCCGGCATTTCTATAATCTCGCAAAATATTTCCATTGCCCAATTAAAAGCTTAATGCAATTTGATCTATATTGATCATATCAGGCTTTTCGATTCGCTTACATTAAGCCTGTTCACACGAGGGTAGGAATCATGAGTAGAAATTGCAGTACTGCTATGGTTTCAACGCACAGGTACTGTCAAAACAATACTTTTAGTATGGACGTGTGACTGCTCTGTGATTCTACCTTCGTGTGATTTGTAATAAGAGTTTAATGGACAGTTAAGTGATAACGTGTAAATGCGTATTACATTTACGATTGCAGTCATCAATATTAACCTTAATAACTGGTTCGAACTAAACCATGCCAATACGATAAAGTTTTGCCTCTTTGAATTATTAGTAGCGCAAATATTAGATTATAAGCATGCAATGCTGACTAACTACACTCAGGGATGTAAAATGGCCACTAAAGCCGTCCTTTAGTGTAGATTAATTACTTAATAGCAGAACTGCTTAATTTATTATTTCATAAACAGTAAAAGTAAGTTTTTATAATTATTTTAAAGCAATTTACAATAACGAAATTTTATTAGAAAGGAAAAATTATGTGGGAAATTATAGAACATGTAATTTTTTTTATATAAATTATATTTGACAATAATTAATCTAGATATAATTATTTCCTGATTTAATTAAAACAATATTAAACATAGGTAAGTCTTAATTTTCTAATGCAAGATTAAATCGAAGATAACGTACACAATACATCCGTCTCTATCTAGGGTTCCTACCTGTCTCTTCCTTCGTGAAGTTCAAACTTCTCCAAACTTATCAACTATATAACATTTTGTATGTTCCAGGTGTGGTTGTGATGAGATGGTGGTGTACGGTGGCGCTGCTGGCGCTGTCCGCGGCTCCACGCCGCGCCGCGCCCCGCGCCGCCATCGGTGAGCAATATTACAGTGAGCATTCCTCTTTGCACTTTATTCTTATCACTAATCAAACGATAACAAATCATAGACGACTTCAATGTATACCTTAGTAGAGGACGGGTATTGCGTTAAGGAGGACGCAGTCTTAGCCTACGACACAAGAGATCGTCAACAATTTCGTTGAATTAATCATTCAATAGTTGCTCATAATATTATACAGATTATCTTAAATAATGAAAAGCTTAATTTTAAAGGATTATTCCCTTTTTGACTTAAGTTTGCGAATAAAAGAAAGCACAACCAAAAAGTTTTGATACTTTACTTGTGTGTATATTTATGCATAATATGAACGAATATGTAAATGGTTACTCGAGTCTTAATAACTTCAATTAGAACATATAAATTTGATTTACTATCGAGTAATTTTAACAATTATATCACGTCATACGAGGATACAAGGCGAAAGTAATAAAGGATAAATCTAAGGGCGGATTTGTCGCTACGTGACAAGAAAATTTAATTTAATACGTATACGTTAATCAATTTATACTCCATTCACACGAGGGTAATAGACAATTCAGTACTACTATTTTTTGAATTCCAACCCTTTTGTGTGCTATCTCTGTTGTTTTCAGTAAGAGTGAGAAGGATGGTTGTAAATCGTAATTTGACAGTTGATATTCAACGTTACCGTCAACAGTATTGTTTCATCTCGGCATTGTCGTACTGTAATACCACACTGCTCTGCCCGTCGTGTGAATCTAGCATTATAATGCGAAATTCGAAGTCTCGTCTGTGATTTGTTTTCTTCCCACTTTTGATCACTAATCACGTACTTTAACTTGACTTAAGTTTTGCATAAGCAGTTTTTATTATGCACATATATTTATTTACTGTATTTTCTCACGTTCCTATTTATTGCTTGTACACGTCTTTCTATCAGGATGCAGATTGACGTATTTTAACTTAATATATCCTTTGAACTTAAATTTTTAAGTGCAAATTAAGTTAAATGCCGACAACCGACTAAGTAGTCTTTAGTCGAGCAGATTTTATTAAGTAATTTAAGATGACTGATAAGCTAAGCGACCGCGCTCCATATAGACATAGCACAGAAAAAGGATATTCCCCTTCCAGTTCATAATCTCCAAATCCACTTCCACTCTTCCTTTCCTTGTAAGAAAAGGAACGGAAGAGAAAGACAACTAAAATAAGGTCTTTTGCCTCAAAAATCGTCACACCATTACAAAAATATATTGTGTTTCAAGACACTTTTAATGTACCTAGGTCTTATCCATTACGTAGTAAGTATTACGTTGTACCTTGTTTGTTGGCAACGTATCCAGTATAAACCTCCCTTGACATTTAGCGACAAAGAAAACATTTTACAGTTCAATCTTTCACTGCCCGTTATCGTTCTACGCTATAAAAGTTGAATTAAGTTTAGCTCTGTTTATTGCTCGAAGCGTACGGAATATTTCAAAGTATTTGATAGCTCTTAACACGAGCATCGAAGCAAATATTGGATCAAAATATATGTTCATATATTGTAAAACAAATGAAAGATATTGCGGATTAAATAATATTAACTTATTTATTTTTAAATTATATATCTGGATGTGATTAATAACTTATTTCTACTATGCGTGCTTAATAAGAAAACATTCCTTCCCAAATTCCTTTTAATTAAATTAAGAGACAGTAATACTGTACACAAACCTACTTCCCTTCCTACCCTAACCTCCTCCTCCCTTCTCACCATCTTCTTAGAAGGAAAGCATGGGAAGGGAAAGTGGATTTAATGGAAGAGAGTATCATAAAATCAAGGGGAAATATTCTCTTTCTGTGCTTCTCCTCCTCCGTAGATTAAAGGTAGGCAACGTATCTACAATTGGGGATATCTTTGTAGCGGTCGCTTCGCCATTTCGGCGAATTTAGGTGGACGCTTGCTTGTTTTATGATATCTCACGTTATAGCTAGTAAATTAATATTTGTAGTAAATTTATCTTCAATCAGGATAATAATAAGGTAAGTGTGGGATAGAAATGTTATCCAACAATTGAGTATATAACCAAGTTATATATAAAATAAAATGGTAAATAGTTATTGAAGGTTCTGTTTTACATAGTGAAAGTCCCGTGTGGGATATAGTAATCCGTCTTGTTTGAATTAATGTTATTTATCTAAGGGCAATGGTAATGTTTCCATGTAACTTATGAGGGTGCTCCGAATTTCCTCTGAATAATTGAACGTTCTCGTAGTGAAACGAATATATAAAATTCTCTTTGTTTAAAAAAAAAGATACGAATATACAATGAAGAATTCGAAATTAAACATTCTATTATTTACGAAATCGTATAAAGAGTAAAAAAAATATTTGAATATTAAAATGGGTAGATTTTTCGAGATATTGCCGCGTAAAAAAACTTGATTTTTGGAACTTAATGTTTATATTAATTATTAGACTGCTAAAATGATTTAATTGGTGTTGTATGATTCTTCGCAATGTCTATAAAAAATGAAGTCTACTAACTACTGGTTTATCTTATATATAAAATACTCGTGTCACAATTTTCGTTCCCATACTACTAAGAAACGACTTGACTGATTCTCATGAAATTTTGTGACCATATTGAGTAGGTCTGAGAATCGGCCAACATCTATTTTTTTTATCCTGCACGGACGGAGTTGCGGGCGACAGCTAGTAAAAATATATAATTCGCAATGTTGTGTAAGCGGCCATTTTAGTAATTCACCTTTCAAACAAAAATAAAATTTAAAACGGTTCATCCGTTCGGGAGCTTCGATGCTACAGACAGGCACACCTCGAACATATAACACCCCGTAGTTTTTGCGTTGAGGGTAAAAAAAAGAAATTAGTAATGTGTCAAGTAATTTTAGTTCGTCAACATTAAATCAAAGACAACTCGTTTGACAAGATTACCAATATTTTTTGTTATTAAGTAGCCATAGATTATAGATTGAAAATGTGGGAACCGGCGTGTCTAATAAATTATATTAATTGTAATTATTTATGTCGTCAATAAAACGAAGGAACGTCATTGAAAAGTGAAAAGATTTCACTTTCCTGCTTCTCTTTACGCTTTATATGACTCGTAAATAGAGATTAGGGTTACCATACTTTGACGTTGTATTGTGGATTAGTTTTTCTATAAAACTTCTGTATTTATTTAGTATTGATAATATCACAATTTAAAACTTCATTTGTTTTATACTGGCACTCTCCTGCGATTCTGTCCGCGCGCAATTAAAAAAAACATCACAAAGTCTATGTGTTCTTTCAGACTATGTTCTATATGTATGCAAAATTTCATCGTGTTCCGTTCTGAAGATACTTTCATACAAATATCCATCCATACATCTAAACATTCGTATTTACATTAGTAAGATAGTAGGATCTATTCAACTATTATAATTATAATGGAACGTATAATTTTATTTGGTTGAAATTGTTCTTTTCACTTTCTAAAGACGTGTTAAATTTTAACGACACGCAAAGAAATATATTTTTCAAAGTAATTTGATTATTTTTATACGTTGAGTGCGTAAACGATTCAATATACGTTGTCGAAAGCTTTCTCTGTTTGTTACTGCGATGTTTACGTCCAAATAACTTTAAAATTTTACGACGCACTTCGCTGTAAATGTTCTTTTATTGTTTATTTTATATCTGGTCAGCGTATTAAGTTTTACAGGCTGAGATTTTAGAGCTTTGTGTGTATTTGCGTAATTATTTTTTTTTTATTATGAAGCTTAAGTAATTTGCCTCATACGTTTGTATCTGATTAAGAAAATTAATTATACTTTTTAATTTTTATGGTTCCGTACCTTGGAAGGAAAAAGCGGAAACCTAAATCTCTTTGTTGACCGTCCGTACCAAGTTAAAATTTATATCAAGTACACAAGAATGAAGTAAAACTTCTAAGCCAACGCAATCAAAGCATAAACCCGTTTATGTCGCAAATTTACGCAAATTTCTAATTTCTACGGCTCGCACGTAAAGGTAACTTGGTTTTTGAGCAAAATTAATATTCAACCTTAAAGTTAGGTTACCTATTATTACATCCGTCACTTTCGTTTGACCTTTACGTCTTTCTGTCATCATCTATACCGCTAATCTGTACAATTAAATAATTAAAATCCAATAATCACGTCGCTTGTAGATTTATTCGGGTCATGTCCGGGAAAGCAGAGTTCAAGTGTAAACCGTGAGAGACGAGATAAAGTGACAGCCGTAAGTTATGTGTAAAAATGTACATAATCTATCCTCTAGTAGTATATAAAAGACGTAACTGATTGACTCACTGGTATGTCAACACACTATAAGACACCCACTTTTCTGAGATGTATTCTACAATCCTAGCGTCACTTCTTCACGTCTTAAGCTTAAAATATTACTAATATAAATGTTAATGTTAAGATGTACGGATGTTTGTTAATAGGTATCTTGGCGAAATTTGGCATAGATGTAGAACATAATCAAGAAGAACACATAGGCTATTATTTAGGTTCTTTTTTTTCATGCGAAAGCGATTAAAAGCTAGAATAGAATAATCATCTAATAATATAATATTTAACGCATCTGCGGTTCCTCTGGTATTGCTGATGTCCATGGGCGTCGCTAAACACCTCGGCGTTTCCGCTGCTCGTTTGCCCACTTCTATTATAAAAAACTTCCGACGTTTTTATATGTTATCTTATACGTTGCCAAAGAGGGACTTTAGCATATTAGGGACCTTAGCATATTAGGGAACTTAGCATATTAGGGAACTTAGCATATTAGGGACCTTAGCATATTAGGGACCTTAGCATATTAGGGAACTTAGCATATTAGGGACCTTAGCATATTAGGGAACTTAGCATATTAGGGACCTTAGCATATTAGGGACCTTAGCATATTAGGGACCTTAGCATATTAGGGACCTTAGCATATTAGGGAACTTAGCATATTAGGGACCTTAGCATATTAGGGACCTTAGCATATGAGGGAACTT